TCTGTCTCAAATAAATAAAAAAACAACAACAACAACAACAAAAAACAAAAAAAAAACTTCAGGATCTGGCCCGACCCCCAGGGTATATAGAATCTCTTCCTCCCCCTCCCATAACTTAAGGGCGCACGTGTGGTTTGCCTACATTTGCTTCCCTGGTACACTGCGTTCTCCTGGAGGAGAGAAGCCGGCAGACACCTGCCCTCCCTCGCCCCCGGACCACGCTCCCCAGAGCTCTCCACAAGGTTGCTTCAATTTTATAGATAACGAAACTGGCTCAGAGGGGTTCAGGAGCTTGCTCAGATTCACACAGCTGGCCCCCTTTAGGCCCCGGCACAGATCTGAGAACAGGTGCTCAAGGATGCACGTTGGCTAATTGAAAGCCTTTAAAAAAGTTTAACCTGCTGAGCTAAAGCCTGAACTTCTCAAAGTCTCTCCACGAGAGATGGACGGGCCGGTATAGGGGCCTTTCCTTCCTCCCTCCCTCCCCACTGGCCCTCGCCAGATGGGAAAAAAGCTACCACGTAGAAACATAACCTTTATTGCACACGGCGCTGGGTTTTTTTTCATAGAAAAAGGTATTAACACATAAGCATCTGCAAATTGAAGCAACTCCTGGTTTTCTTGGAACAGTAAAATCGCATGCAGTGTCTCTGAGTTGGGATTTTGGTCTTTGTCAAAACCACCTAGATTGAAGGGAGGGTGAGTGAGTCGGAGGGAAAAATTGCTGAGTCTTTGTGCCTCTGTCTCAAAATAAGGTGAGAGAAATATATAGATATATAGCTTGTCGATGCGCTCCTATCTCCCTATATATGTATATATAGCTCTCCACGCGTATTTTGTGCGGTCGGGGGGTGGGGGTTGATTTGTACTGTCAAATTCTTTGTGCCCTGGCTTCATGGAGAAGAAAATAGTTTCATTTGTACAAAAGAGTTCTATGTACAAGCGTTCACAACTCGGGGGCTTTTCTTTTCGTTGTTGGTTGGTTTCTGTCAGTTAATATAAATAATGCAGGAAAACAGCCAAGTTGGTGTGTGAGGGCTGGAGGTGCAGACAGGTCCGAGCGTAGGGCTGCTTTTCTCGCTGTGCCCCTACACCAGGGTATAGGATTTGGAGTAGGCCCCTGCCCCCTGCTTCTGAGACCTCCCTACCCCCGACGTGCTCATCTCGAGAAGTGAGTCCCTGGAGCCCCCCATTTTGGTGTGTGGGCCCCCGGCCCGCGGAGGCTCGGTGCTGGGGGCCGGAGGGGCAGCGCTGGGGGCGGCTGGGGGCTCGGCAGGGGTGGGGCCGGGAGCTGGCGGGGCCGTGCCGGCTGGGGGTGCAGGCATGGCCAGAGTCCTCTGAGGTAAAGTGGCTGTGGCTGCAGCAGCAGGGCCCCCTGGGTGCGGGAGGCCCAGGGGCTTGCTGGCAGGGTCCAAGGTCAGGTGGCGAGCCTGGGTGTGGTAGGTTCGAGCCAGGTTCCGGACGGAAGCCTCTCGGGGTGGGACCACCGGACAGGGCTCACGGCCATCTGCCTTTCGGAAGAAGGCCTCCGACTTGGCGTACAGGGGCAGGTTACAGTAGTCACCTGGAATCAGAAGCAGAAAATGCTGGCGGCAGAGGCCTCTGGGCACCCGCTTGCTCACCCACCCCCGCCTCCCCAGTCTTGTCCCTGATCTGACCTAGGAGCCCCTCCACAGGCTCGGCAACGAAGCATCCAGAAGGGATCAGTTATTTGACCTCTCCGAGCCTGTTTCCTTATCTGGGAGAGGCAGCCCATCACACTTCCCGACGGGATTACTGGGAGCGGTGAGTGAGATAAAGTGAGGGAAGCGTGTCAACACGGTGGTTGGCACGGACAGTAGCTGCTCACTAAACCGGTGGCTTCTCGCTGAATGGCCCCTACCGGCTGCTCAGCTTCAGCCGGTGGACAGCTCCACTTCGCAGCCCGACTTCCTGGGAGCGAGGGCTGTCAGAACAGTTTTCCTTACCCCGAGGAGGGGATGCTCGTCACTCCCCACATGGAGCCCCATTCTGCCTTCTGAGGACCCGCACAGCATGGGCCCCCGCCACCCCCACAGCAGCCTGCCAGATGTCTGGAGTCAGCTACCTTTCCCCATCCCTCTCCTGCTTTCCAGGCGGAGCGTTCCTGGTTTCTTAAACCGCCTCCATATGACAGGCTCCCGGGACATCCATGTCCTGATCCCTCTGCTCTGTAAGCATCCCCACCTATAAATGTGCCTCTAAGCTGTTGACCGTGCCAGGAACTTTCTCTACATGATCTCATTCAGTCCCCACAGACCCCTGGATAGCTTAATACCGGCCCACAGTTGGCAAGTGAGAAAACTGAGCTTCAGAAAGATTAAGTAATTTGCCCCAGTCCACCCAGGCAGAAGGGGCGGGGGCGTCATTCAGGGCGGCTGATCTCCAAAGTCCTTGTACTTAGTTACCCTCGGCTCTTCTCTAGATGACCCCGAGCGCCCCCTGATTAGCATGGCCACTACGCGAGACCAGACCCCGCATGGTCTGACATGGTACGGTGTGGTCCCAGTGTCTGCTCATGGACCCCCATCCCCACGCCCTCAGTGTTCCTACAGCTGTCCCACCAACCCTGAAGGGCATATGCTCTGGCCAGGCCCCTGGCGTCAGACAGCCCCCAGTCAGGCGAGGTCACTGCCCACGGTGAGGTTTGGCCCCCGTGGATCAATGTTGAATGGCATTGAGACCAGTGGCCATTGGGCGGCAGAGCCCCGAAAGGCTGTCTCTCCATACTGGCGCAGCCTCAGAGTGAAGGGAATGATCGCTACGTACCGAGGGCCTGCTGCGCGCCAGGCCCCTGTAGCATTTCTGGTGCCAGCTACGACAGTGCGGAGTACATGCGGTCATTTGCATTTTACCACTGGAGAAAATGATCAGAGAGGCTAACTGACTTCCCAAGGCCACGGAGGTATTAAGAGGCTGAGCCAGGAATATGGATCCTGATCCAGACTCTCCCGGGTACTTGCTCTGCATTGCCCACACTGTCAAGGAGCCCTGCCAGGCTGGGGATGCCAGGGGAGGCAGGGGGAGGCAGGGGGGAGGCGGGCCGGGCACTCACTCTTGTTGGCCCGGTGCGGGATGGGCACTGCCACGTTCTTGCCTCGGTCGGCATCCTGGGGCTTGGGCGGGGAGGCGGTGAAGCGACAGATGCCGGGCTCCGAGGGTGTGCTCATGGACGTCATGCTGTCGGCGTTCTCGTTGGTGCCTGTGGTCATCTGGTCGGAGGAGCTGTCCGAGATGAAGCATTCGGTGATCTCGAACTTGGCATGCTGCAGCTGCTCCTCCAGCTTGGCATGCTCATAGGCCCGGGCCAGCTCCTCATAGGTGGACGAGGCGCTCTCAGTGGACACCATGCTGTTCCGTCCTTTGTCTGGAGAGACAGAAGGCGCGGAGTGAAGAAGAAATGAGGGGGTTGTGGGGAGAAGGGGGTCTCGTTTACAAATGAGACCAGACTGAGCCATTCCCCTGCCCTTGAGCCTGGCAGTCCTCTCGGAAGACCCCACTCCCACCCTGGGAAGGCGGCTTTGGGGGCAGAAGCAGGGTCTTTGGCAAACAAAGCGCAGAACATCTTCCACTCTTGAAAACAAGACCCACCCCCTGGAACCCTGGGCTCTTTCTCCAACGAACATCACATGTATTCTGACATCTTTCGGGAGAGCAGAAGGAAATCCTTGACTAAGCAGAGCTCAGCGAGGTCAGGTATGTTTGTGCCGGCCACACGGTAAGCCAGTGGCCAGCTGGAAGCAACACTGACTGGTGCCTTGGACCCCATGAGCTGGTGGGTGGAGGTTGGGACAGCAGAGGGGGAGCTGCAGGAGAGAGAGCAGGACGCAGGCCCGGCCCCGGGCTCACCTGTGTCCTGGGACAGGCTGGCACTGTAGCTGTCACTCTCCGTGACAGTGACCCCGTGCTGGGACCCCACAGTGCGCCAGTCAGAGGCGAGGGTGCGGGCAGGGGTGGAGGCCTGGCACTTGGTCAGAGTCCACTGGCTCGAGTACCGGTTCCGGGTGCTGTGGGCTGCCTTCACACTCTTCCTGGACACTGGGTCTGCACGGAGAAAGCCAGAGCTGGCACCCCCACGGAGGGCACTCAGCCTCGGGCTCCTGGCACGTACCCGAAAGGCAGTGGGGAGCAAGGGAGGGGGCAGAGGCAGCCGCAGAAGCACCCGGGGGATGCTGAGCATCCTGCCTTTCCTGACCGCACAGCTGGCCCCGCAGGGGAAGAGCAACGGTGGTGAGGCGTGGGGGCAGTGGGGGGCCTCCTGGTCCTCTCCCCCACCCCATCTTTCCCTTCAGCTTGGGGAGGAATGTCAGCCCCTCTCCTGCTGCCTCCTGTGCATTCACTCCCTACAGCCCTTGATGCGTTCTATCCTTATGTCCAGAGTCACAGTGCTAGAGGCAGAAGGCCCTTGGAGAGCAAGAACTCCCAACCCTCTCTCAAAATGTGTAGGTAAGGACACGGACGCCCAGAGCGATAAAGTTGGCAATATACCCAAGGTCACAGCTAGGAAGTCTTCAGGCAAGGTCTGGAGACTAACTCCAGTGCTCTTTCTGTTCTTCCATGCTGCTCTGAGCCTCCCCCCCCCGCCCAATCTTTTTCCACCTGTGCCCCACGCTGTGCCCAGGTCACCCTGTTTGGGAGGAGGTCTGTCTCCCTGGGGACAAGGCATACTGGTGCCTGGCCGGATGTCAGACATGTCGATGAGGGGTCCCGTGCTCTGGATGAGGGCTGGGTGGTGCAAGGAGACACCAGTGCAGAAACTCTGTGGGTTGACAGCTTGGCTGAACTCAGCGTCCGTCACGGGGATGGTGGCTTTGTCATCTCCTGGGGGAAGGAGGACAATGAGTACGAGTCCTTCTCTTTAGGCTTCCCAAATTTCTTTTTGTCTTTATCCAATGTTGAGATGCAGGAAGGACGGAATAATTCTTTCCGTGAGACAGAGGCAGAAACTCAGCCCTCGAGAGAAGCTTCAGTGAGTTCCAAGGTTGCCAAGTGGGGATGGGGCCGCCGCTAGAACCCTGGGCACTGCTGTGAGGGCTGGTGGCTGCCCTTGGTGGGCTGTGGCCTGGGGAAGACGGGGACAGAGAGCTTGTGGCCCCTGTCACTCACCCAGCTGCTTGATGCCCTCCTTGTCCTCGATGAGCAGCTGGACTCTGGGGATGTCAATGTGTAGCCTCGGGCCCTGAGGTGGCCCCTTCACAGGGGTGTCAAAACTTCGGTTGTTCTTACTGTGGGGAGAAGGGCCAGAGGTGGTTGACTCAGCAGCCACAAGGGGCTGGGGGGGGGAGGGTTTTGCAGGACAGTGGGGTCTTAGAAGCCTGTCCTCTGCAGGGGAGGAAACAGCGATGTGGCACCTACCTTATCAACATTTCTGCCAGACTCTTTGCATCTGCAAAACAGTAGAGAGAGGGACTGGGTGAGAATGGAGTCTGAGAGGGATGAAAACTGGAAGAGGCATGGGGAACAAGGTGGGAGAACTCCCTAAACTGGGACCAGGGCTGGTCTCTTGGGGAGAAGAGGAAGAAATGAAAGGACCTCTAAAGTAGTCTAACATAGGATAAGGTCTGATGGCTCCTGATGCAAGATTTGGCTCAGGTCTGTTTTCCTTTCCTCAGATTTTTATCTAATAGGGAGGTCCTTCCCAGAGGAGAGGGTATATAAAGTGCTCCATCTGTTTCCTGAATTGGCTCTAATTAAACAAGACAACAGAGCATGGGTACCAGTGGAGGGTCTATCCTCAGTAATCTGCTGGGAAGAAAAGAGAGTGGAGGATGATGTAGAGGTGGTCAGTGGGCATCCCCAGATGACTATCAACCAAGACGCTTTATTTCTTCCTCTTGGGCACCTGTCCCCAAAAAGTCCATGGATGAATTTGGGGGTCCCTGCTTTGTCTCCAGAGGGGCCTTGAATAGGATCAGGATCTCAGGTTTGGAATCGACAAAGAGAGAGAGAGAGAGAGAGAAGCAAAGGACCTAGATAATCCATTAGACCTCTGATGAGAATGAGAATCATGAGAATGATCTGTCAGAATGAATCTAGCTGCACTGGGTATTTACCCCAAAGATACAAATGTAGGGATCTGAAGGGGTACATGCACCCCGATGTTTATCGCAGCAATGTCCACAACAGCCAAACTGTGGAAAGAGCCAAGGTGTCCATCGACAGATGAATGGATAAAGAAGATGTGGTATATATATACAATGGAATATTATGCAGCCATCAAAAGGAATGAGATCTTGCCATTTGCAACAACGTGGATGGAACTGGAGGGTGTTATGCTGAGCGAAATAAGTCAATCAGAGAAAGACATGTATCATAAGACCTCACTGATATGAGGAATTCTTAATCTCAGGAAACAAACTGAGGGTTGCTGGAGTGGGGGGCGGTGGGAGGGATAGGGTGGCTGGGTGATAGACATTGGGGAGGGTATGTGCTATGGTGAGTGCTGTGAATTGTTCAAGACTGTTGAATCACAGATCTGTACCTCTGAAACAAATAATGCAATATATGTTAAGAAAAAAAAAAAAGAAGATAGCAGGAGGGGAAGAATGAAGGGGGGGAAATCGGAGGGGGAGATGAACCATGAGAGATGATGGACTCTGAAAAACAAACTGAGGGTTCTAGAGGGGAGGGGGGTGGGAGGATGGGTTGGCCTGGTGGTGGGTATTAAAGAGGGCATGTTCTGCATGGAGCAGTGGGTGTTATGCACAAACAATGCATCATGGAACACTACATCAAAAACTAATGATGTATGGTGATTAACATAACAATAAAAAATTAAAAAAAAAGAATGAATCTAGCTGCATGTATGTATCCAACCATCTACTCACCCACTCATCCATCCATCCATCATTGATCCATTTACCTATCAATCTATTCATTTCTCCACCCACCCATCCAGTCTTTCATCCATCCATCCATCCATCCATCCATCCATCCATCCATCCATCCATCCAATTATTGATTTATCTATTCAACCATTCATTCAACCACCTGTCCACATGTCCATAAAACCACACAACCATGTCCATCTTATTATCCATCCATCCATCCAACCATCCATCCATCCATCCATCCATCCAACCATCCATCCATCCATCCATCCATCCATCCATCCATCCATCCAACCATCCATCCATCCATCCAAGCATCCATTCAACTATCCACCCATCTACCCATTCATACAATCATCTATTATTCATTCATTCAAATATGCATGCATCCATCCACCTACCCATTGATCCAACCATTAATCCATTCAACCATCCATCCACCACTCCTCCATCTATCTACCCATCCAACCACCTATCCATCAAACATTTCATTTAACCATCCATCCATCCATCCGTCTTTCTATACATCTTTCCATCCAACCGTACCATTAATCATCCAACCACCCATCCAATCATCCATCCACCCAGCCACCCAACTCCTAAACACCTAGGCAGTGTTAGTAATTTCCTATTCTGTGCTACTATTGTTCCCTGACTCCTCACATTTAACTGTGAATTCTATGAGGACTAGACTATGTTCCATAAGACTATGGACTGTTCCTTCTTCGTTCATCTTTCTATCTCCAATGTCTGGCAGTATCTACATACAGCAGATATTCAGTAAATGTTTTTCACATGAGTGAATGAACATCTGTTAAGTAACTACTAGGTGCCAGACACTGTACCAGTCCCTGGGAAAATCAAGGTAAAGCAGACCCATTCATGCCAGTCTGTGGTATCATAGATTGGAACAAGGATGATATTCAAAATATTTAACATCAGACATGTCATAGAAGCCACACGGTCAAAACTGAGCAAGGTCTTAGCGACCACTTGTAGGTCTATGCTTTAGTGGCCAGATTCTAGAAGAATCTCAGGGACCCTGTGAGAGAGAAGGAGCATCCAGGGTGGAAGGGAGCAACATCTACTTATCAACTAACATGGGAATGTTTAACTATTTTAACCAGTATGGCTTTACCAGGGTATATCTCTAAAATTCAGCCCTGGTTAGGTCAGGTGTCTTGGGGGCACAGAGGAAGAAGCAGTATGAGCTAAAGTTTCAGAAGGCTGGAGTAGCAGCTCTCCCTTCAATGGGACACAGGCACTTTCTCTTGTCCAGATGGTGCCCATGAGCCAATGAAAGGTGGCCCATGTGGTTGAGGGTCAACACTCCCTCCCGGGAAGCCCGTAGGAAACTCGCCTACCTCGGAGACGCTTCAGCCGCTTCTCCTTCCTCTTCTTGCGAACGATGAAGAGCAGTGCCACCCCCAGAGTGGCCAGGATGACCGGGCAGCCGATGGTGAACAGCTTCTTCACATCATCCCCCTCCCCTTGAGCAGACTTGATGGGAGGGATGGTACCTGACGGGGTGAAGAAGGGAGTCAGATGTCCCTTATGAGTAGGGTCTGGGCAGAGTCCCCTGGATGGGGTAGCCTTTGAACCTCTCTTGCTGCCCTTGCTCTCATTCTGACTTCCACTTCTTGGCACAGAGCCCCAACCCTCTCCCTCTACTCCTCCAAATTCTGGTCACATCAGGACAGTCATGAAGAGTCGTGCAGTTTTTACACTGCTTTATGATACTGATGACTTCGCGAGCCTATTTTAGAATTATCCTGAAGTCTCTCAGAGATAGCCTCCTGCCTGTTGGAGTTCAGTGTTCATTTCTAGAGGGTGGACCAATGAGCTTAGATTCCGCCATCCAGCTTGTAAAGTGGGAGGGGTAGTGAGAATCATAGCGAGAAGTCAGAGCAGTGCAATCCCGGGGTCTCGTCCCCACATGGGGACAAAGCCACTCCACGCCCTGCATTTTCTCCCTGCTCCCTCGCCCATGGGTGAGATCCGCTAACCTTGGGTGCCTGCACGGAGGCAGTAAATTCTGCTGACATAGCCCTCTGCAAAGCCCGATCTGTGCCTGTTTCAAAGCCTCGCAGAAGAGCCATCTCCTTCATGAAGCCTTCCTTGTTTGAGGCCAACTCCATCTGATACCACTTTTATTCTGTTTCCTTAACACATAGGTAGACTGACTTTACCTTGTGACAACTGGTCTCTATGAATTCAGCCTTCAATATGCCTTCAGTGTATGTGCACAAACGTGTGTGTGTACACACGTGCATGTGTGTATGTGAGTGTGTGCATGTGTATGAAGTGCCCCGTGTGGCAGACACCAGTGAGTGCTCACCAAATATCCGTGTGTTCATCTACCTCTCCCAGACTTCCTGGCAATTAGATTAGAGCCACGGAACTAGTTCTGGACAACAGAATGGGGAGAGAAGTGATGAGCCTCACCTCCTGGCCCAGGCAGTTAAGACTGGGGTGACTTTTCTATCTCTCTCTTCTTGGCGACCTTGGAGGCTACACATTCAAGATGGCATAGTTAAAAAATGGTGAGCAGCCAACCCTCACAAGATGTCATGAGAGCAAGAAGCAAATCTTTATTGGGTTAAGCGCTACAGCGTTCAGGGTTTATCTGTTCCTGTAGCCCAGGCTATCGCAGCCTGGCTAATGGACCTTTTTAGCAGAGGGGCCTCGGGGGGCGGGGCCTCGGGGGCGACGCGTCCCCTGGGGGCGGGGCCTCAGGGGCAGGGCCTCAGCTATCGCTCTGCCTTATAGTCTCCGTATCTCTGAAGCAGCCGAGAGCAAGGATTGCACCTTCAAAAGACCCTCTAACTTAGTGCGATGGGTTTGCTTGGCTATCAGTCCGTATCGGCCACTGGTGCACCTGCCCATCTGCCTGCCCCCTACCACTCTGCTGCTCCCTTTGCTTGCTCCTTCCCTGTCTCCAGCCTTTTCCTCCATGGTAGTCCTGTCTATTTTTCGATTTGTCTGTCTTCTCTTTATGCGTCCGCCTCTCTGCCAGCTTCCCTGGGGACACCTTGCTGCGGCCCCCAGGCCACCCCTCCCGCCCCTCCTGCCCTCTCCGACTCACTGCCGTCATAGTCCAGGGTGGCGAACTGGGCAGTCTCGTTGCCGCAGCCAGCGCTGTTGCAAGCCCGCATGCGCAGCTCGTACCACGTGGCCTCGCGCAGCTCGGTCAGAAACACCTCCCCGGAGCTGTTGGCCCGCAGCCCCTGCCAGGCCCAGGTGCCCTTGGGCCGGTACTCCAGCACGATGGCTGTGATCGGGCAGCCCCCGTTGTTCCAGCCCTGCAGGTTAAGTCGAGCATGCGTGGAGTTGATGTGGGTGAACAGGTGCTGGTCTTTGCTGAAGGAGGGCTCTGGGGGGCCACAGGGAGAGAGCGAGGTTAGAGACTGAGAGGAGGAGGGTTCATTCATCTGCGCTGGGAGGGAGTCCCCTGGGCCAGCCCGGGCTGCAGTGGCTCCGGGAAGCCGCGGTGGGCACAGATGGGAGTAGGGATGCCCCAGGGGACAGAGGAGGAGGGAGAAGAGGGAAGGACGTGGAGAGAAGGCCTCAGCAGGGCAAGAGATATGGGAAGAAGGAAGAGGCTGCCACCATCTGCTACCGGGGAGGTGGGGCCTGTTTCTCCTACTGTGATTGGTCAGCGTGCTATCTATAGTGATGGGAATTAGGCTCTCCCTTCAGTCTCCGCTCCCCTGCGCCCTCCTTCCCCAGCCCAGCCACCTTCCATCCCCATATCCTGGGCCCATCTCTCCCGAACTGGGTCATCGTCAGGCCTCACCCCGCCCGTGGGTCTTGGCCTCGATGATCTCGCTGATGCGCCCGGAGCCCACGCTGTTCTTGGCTGCCAGTTTCACCTTGTACCACGTGCCACACTTGAGGCTGTCCAGCTTGAAGGACCGCTCGCCTGAGCTGATGAACACGTCCTTCCATTCCTCGCTGTTGTCTACCGAGTACTGCAGCACGAAGCCTGCCAGGGAGGTTTGCCTGGCTCAGGGCGGGCAGGGCAGGCAGGGCGGGGCCTGAGACACCCCAACAGGTGGCGTGGGGCTGGGGTCCCCGCAGGGGCAGAGTGGGGCCTTTGGTGGTGGAGGGCGGGGCAGAGGCAGATCGGACACAAAGCTGCAAGGAGTTTTCCTGCTCTCTCTTTAGCAGCCAAGGTGGAGAGGGGAGCGGAAAACAGAGCCTTGAGGCTTAAAAGGGATAGTATTTCGAGCCTGCTACTCCCAGTGCGGTCCCTGACAGTAGGATTACATCACCTGGGAGCTTGTCAGATCCCACCCCAGACCTCAGGAATCAGAATCTGCCTTCTTTAAGATCCCCTGCTGATTCATGTGCATATTCATGATTGAGAAGAACTATCTAGTACATTTATCCTACTGTTACAAATTTGGAAACTGAGGCCGAGAGAAGAAAACAGATTTCTTCAGGTTTGCGTAGCTCACCAGCCGCAACTGGGGTGGGCCTTCCAAAACCCAGATACTGAGGCTGGTAACTGTCTGTGGCACTTGGGTAACTTCTTGTGGTCTGAATTGCCCCTCACTCATCACTTCTGGGGCACTCTGGGGACAGGTGGTGGGAGTGGGTAAGGCCCTTGCCCGGCTACTGGGTGCAGAATTTCTTCCCCTCTTTCCCCCTCCTCATCCCGACCCCTCTCACCTCGGATGGAGCTGCCCCCATTGTCACCTGGAATCCAGGTCAGGGTGATGGACGAAGCGGAGGTTTTAGAGACAGTGAGGCGGGGCTGGTCCGGGGGAACTGTGAGGGGAAAGCCACCAGGCCTCACCACAAAGGGTTAACACCCGATAATGGGAGCATGGGCTATCCCAGCTGCAGCTGAGGGCCCAGGCCTGGCCTTCCCCGCCCTCTTGGTGCTTCCCCAGCTCCTGCTCATTCTCCCCATCCCTCCTGCCTCCTCGTCCACGTGGCACCTCTGTTCCACAAAGGGTCTGTCCCCCAGGTGGCTGGGGAGGCTGGGGAGGCCCCTGGCTTCTGGGGCCTTACCTTGCACCAGAAGGTTGACGATGATGGTGTCGAAGCCCCCAGTGTTCGTGGCCGTGCAGGTGTAATAGCCCGAGTCCTCAGCCTTCACAGCACGCAGCAGCAGCGTGCCATTGGTATGGATGAGCCGGTGCCCATCCATGGACACGGGGATGGCTGAGTCTTCACTGCAGGGGTTGGGGGGCAGAGACAGGTTATGGTAAGCACCTGGGGGCTCCCCCAGGACTGCAGGCAAACAGGGCTGGGAGTAGGAGGAGGCTGGCTAAGGGGCCTGGGACTATTGGGGTTTTACCTAGCACTTCCTGGGGGATGTCGGTCCCCCTGGCCTCTTCAAGCACCCAGGGAAGGGAGATCTTTGGCAGCAAACAGAGGGGAGCCAGGGAGGCCAGGCCTGCATGGGACAGCAGGAGCCATGTGCCCGGCAGGGCTTCTGGTCAGCTGGAAGGGAGGGGCGCCTGATTCTTTTCTTCATGGCTCTTCTACTACACCCATCTTTGGGGTCCCCCATCCCTCTGGGGTCCCTCGCACACCTGTCCTTGGTCCACTTCACAGCAGGGGCTGGATCTCCCACCGAATTGCAAGGCAGTCGGACATCTTTCATCCAGGGGGTTGTCACGGTGCCTCCAAATGAGATGATCTTTGCTGGGGCTGCAGGGGAGAGAGCATGAGGGCCACCCCACCTCTACCCTCAACACTGTACTGGCCTGCCTTTCCTAGGGCTCTCCAAATTTACAATTCAAGTCCCCCATCTCCTACCTGACCTCCACCTTGGACTTGGGACAGGGGTGGGTGCAGACACTTTCAGATGGGAGACACTGATTCAACAAACATTGATCAAATACCTGTTGTGGAACAGGTATCAGAGGAAGCTCTGAGGATTCACAAAATGAACAAGATCTGTTCCCTGTCCTCAAGTTGCTCATCATCCAAAAGGGAGACAGATACTTAAAAAGTATCATGACAGGTGAAAATAGTATGGTAGGGGTAGGTACACGTCACCGTGGGAGCACAGAGAAGGAGGAATGACTCTGCCTTTTCAGTGGTGGTGGAGGTGATGGCAGGGGAGGCTTCTGGAATTAGAAGCTTTGACTTGAATCTTTTTTTTAAAGTAGACTCCACACCCAGCATGGGGCACAATGTGGGCCTTGAGCTCACGACCAACCCTGAGATCAAGACCCGAGCTGAAATCAAGAGTCGGATGCTTAACCGACTGAGCCACCTAGGTGCCCCTGAATCTTGAAGGCTAAAAAGGAATTCACTATGCAGGGAAGGAAAGGCATAGCGGGAAGGGGTGACAGCACTGAATAGAGGCCTGGAGGCCTGAAACACATGGGAAGTGTGAGGGTCTGCAAATGCTCTGGGGCAACCAAAGCCCAGGGTGAATGAAGGGGGACGGGTGGTGAGCAAGAGCAGAAGCATGGAGGGCTCCGTTGGCAGAACAAGGAGGATGGACTTGCCCTTGAGGTCACGAGGAGCCACTGGAGGCTTACAAGTAGTGATACGTTCAAAGTAGAGTTGTGGATAAAGCCCTGGCAGCCGGCAGAGGATGGTTTGCTGGAGGACCCACAGATCAGCAGCAAGATGGCAGCCGGAGAACAGGCCGGAAGCGACGTACGGCAGTGGGGAGGCGGTTGGGGGCTCAGGGGGGAACCGCCAGGACTTGGGGTCTGACTGGCTTTGAGGAAGAGATAGAGGGGGTGTGGGGATGACTGCATAATGCTGGCTGGGTGGTGGTGCCCTCACAGAGACAAGACACACAGGAGGAGCGGGGGAGGGGGGAAGGAAGAAGGGGAGGAGGGGGAGGAGCGGGGCTAGGCAGGAGACACCGGAATACTTAGCCTCACACTGACCCTGAGGTCACCCACATGGGGTAGCTAGAAAGCAGTCAGAAATACATGTTCTGGAGCATGAGAGAAGTGGCTGGGCCGCAGATGCTGACGTGGGAGCCAGCCGCCCAGTGACTGAGGTCGCCAGGAGCAGGAATGTAGATGGACAGAGAGGTGGCAGCACAGACAGGCACGGTGGAGACAGGAACGTCCCCAGGGGTGATGGGAGCACACTCAGAGCACCGGGATGCACAAGCCTCACCGTGAAAAGCAAGGCAGGCAAAGATGTCCAGGGTACTTTGGGAAGGTGACCCTCCCAGGTACCTCACAGATGTCTGGGCTGAGTTACGGGTGTTCAGTCAACCAAGCGACCAAGCACTCAAGAGTTCCAGACCTGGTCCCTCCATGTGGCTGGGGTTAGTTCCCTGAATCTCTTGGTGTCTCGGGGTGTGTGTGCGTGCGTGAGTGCGTGTGTGTGTGTGTGAGTGGGGTGGGGGGGAGGGAACAGCAGTGCTCCCCCCACCCCCGGGGCTACGGTAAGGACAGAAGAAGCAGCTGTGGAGATGTGCTCCGGGAGGTACAAAGCCCTCTGGGGATGTGTCCTGTGGACCGCCCACAGGGGAAGGGGCCAGCCTTCTGCCAGGACACCCAGGCCCTCCCACGCTGTCTCTGGGCCAGCGCCAGCTACCCTGGGCGCATGGTAGGTTCTAGGCCCCTTCTCTCTGGAAAGGAAGAGCCCAGGAGAAGGGGTTGGTGGCACCTGGGGGAGGAGGGATTGGGGCTGTTAGAAATGCTGAAGGGGGCGGGAAGAGCCTGACTTGGGGCCAGAAGAGCTCGCACATCACTCTCCATGCTGTTTGCGGGCCGTGCCGACCCCGCCTGGGTGCATAACTGGAAAATGGAGTAACACGGGCAGGGCAGGGGAGCCCCGCTGCAGGCCCCCCATCGAGCGCTAGCGGACTCTGAGCCTGTGGCAGGGGAGGGCTGATGCCTCTTGTGTGCCCAGCAAAGGAAGCTTGACACACCAAGAAGGTGGCTGGGCTGAGGCAGCCTCAGCCTGGTCCTTGGGCCCCAGGGCTCAAGAGTCAGGTGGCTGTGGGAGGAGGCAGGCCTGGGAAGGAGGGGGCCTTTCCGTGGAGGCTGGGAGTCCAGGTAGAGGACATGGAGCTCCCGGCTGGTGGCGGCGAGCTGTCATGCCCTGTGGTTGGCCCCGTGGTTGGCGCAAAGGGCAGATGAGGAGCTGTGCACGGCTGCCTCTTAGGTGTGGGGTCGGGGCCTGAGCACTGTCATTCCCTGTAAAGTGGGGGTGTGTATGCCCCCGTGGCACCCCTCTGCTCAGGCCAGGGATTCGGTGGGGCATTCCCTAAGAACACACACACTCTTTTCAACCCGTGTGCAGCATCTAGCCCAGAGCCTCCTCCTAGCTGCGCCCTCTGTGAATGTCTGTTGATCGAATGAATCAGCAGTCAGGGGCACCACCTCTGCCCGAGGTGTCCAGCCTTTGAAACGGGGCAGTGGGGGAGATCCCTTTGTGGCTCTCTGCTCCGTGTAAGCAGTGTCCCCTGCCGCCACCCCCTCTGGAGATGCTGAGCCTTGGGACAAAGGCTCTGCTGTGGGCTGGGAGTGGGGCTAATGCCCCTTTGTTCAACCTCGGAGAGGAGTTGGGCATGGGGGACCGACCGGGGTGCTGCTCCGTGCCTTCCGCCTCTGGGTAACTGTGCTGCCTGGAGCCTGTTGTGAGGCTTTCTGGGAGTCAGGGGGCAGCAGAGGCCCAGTCTTGGCGGATACAGGAGGGAGGCAGGTGGCCAGCCAGCTCCTCACAGCCAGGTCACGGAGAGGATGGAGGGAGACAGCCCCTCCTTGGGGAGAACCAGCATTCTAGAAGGGGGCTTCTGGCGGCTTCTCGCGCTCGGCCCGGGCTGCTTACCCTTGCCTGCGGGCTCAATGGTGACCTTCTCGCTGCTGTTGCCCCGGCCAGCAGAGGTGACAGCAGCCACCCACAGCAAATACTGCTGCCCACGGTTCAGGTGGGCGATCCGGTAGAAGAGCTGCTCCGGACTCGTCTCGTACTCGCTGGGAGCCTGCCGGACAGAGGCAAAGGAGTGCTAAGAACCCAGCTTCTGGGCCTCCAGCCTCCAACCCCAGCTTTCCTCGGGGACCTGGGCTCAGAGGAGAGGGTAGCCCAGTCGGTGGAGGGGGGGGCGGTCAGGGGGGATGGGAAGAGAAGGTCGGATCCTGCCTCATTTGCCCTTTCTGGTTTAGGAGGAACAGTGAGCAGACTTTGTACTGGGCTTGGCTCCGGGGGCTCATGGGCCTGCTCTGGGGTGTTGCTGGGTCAGCCTCAGTTTACCTCTTCGACTGATCCAGACGCTGGCAATTGTGGCTCCAGGCCAGGGAGTGTGAGTGTGTCGGGTGAGTGATGGAGGGAGTCAGGAGAAGGGAGAATGGAGGAAGGAGGGTCCCAGGAAGACCCCTGGGAAAGGGAGTCTCTGGGGAGAAGCTAAATTACCGCATTTGCCTTATTAGGGTTGTAGACAGTCTCCCCCAGCCTGTACCAGCCCCGCTGTCTAATTACCACTCCTTCATTCTGCGGGAGCAAACCGTCCGGGGGAGGGAGGCGGGGGGAGAGGGAGCTCTGAGAGCTTCCCTGGGCAACACTTTATTAACGATTATTAGTGGTATAGATCACCTTATATATTTGTAGGTTATATAAATCTATAAATTTTTTTTTAACCAAATGACAGTTTTGACAAGTTGCCAACAAAACAATATCGGATCCCAGTGGTTTTACCAGTTGCTTTGATGAAAAGATTATGTTGCCTTGGAAACCAGAGGCTCAGATATTGAAATGAATTTGAGAAGGAGCTTTTGATAAGCGCTAGTTTGCAGACCTCCTGTCAGCCCCTTCCCTGGTCCAGGCGGGATGGGGTGGACTTTCATTTTATTTTATTTTTTGGTCAGCCGCGGGGAAGGGAAAGGAGGACAGCACTAGGGCCTCTTTGAAATCAGGGCAGAAGTCTAGGGAGGGGAGCAGCCCCCTGGAACAGATGGGGGGCCCTGAGGCCAGAGGGAGCTAATAATTAGTTATCTCTGCAGTCATAGGATCTTGCACACACATGCTCACGTGCACACACTCACATGCACATGGACATGGAGACGCATTCATGCACATGCTGAGGGACAGACTTGCAGACAGATACAGGGTCACAGAGGGCCATTCTCTGTGCCCCGTGGGAGGGCTGAGTGGCCCAATGACTTCTCACAGGAGAAAACATCCTTTCTGGCCCCAGGCTGTCTGTAGGCAAATGTTAGGGAGGAGACACGGGCATCCCTTCAATACACACAGAGCTCCCTGGCCAACTCCTCCTCCTGCCTCCCTCATGGAGACTTGGCCTTGACCCCAGAAGGTCCCTGCTGCGGACAGGTGCAGAACCACCCTGAGCCCTGTCGTTGGGAGGTCTTTTCAGGCCCCAGCACCCAGGACACTGTGTGTATCTGTAGTTCCTACAGGTGCATGAGGTAGGCGGGTATAGGGGCCTCAACATCCACTTGCCCCTTCTTACTAAGTGCCTGTCCCATAGGTCACACACCTTTCTTTCTCAAGGATCCTGGGACCTCAGTTTTCTTTCCTGTGAACTAAGAAAGCAACACAGCTCTGCCTACCCTGTGTGGTTACAGAGAGGCACAAAGGAGGCAAGGGGTGGGTGAGTCCTTTGTAAACTGGGGCATGTTCGTCTCCCGGCTCTTTTGTCTGTGAGGATTGAGGTGTGTCTGTGCATGCGAGGAGAAGAGCTGAGGGGACCTGCTTGTGTGTCAGTGTGTATCCGAGTGGACATTTGTGTCTGCACAGGGCAGGAGAGGCTCGGCTTCCCACCGAAGGTGTTAGCATCACATCCAGATCCCGAGGTTTTCCCTTTAACCTGGACTCCCCAAGAATCTCCTGAAATCATTTTTAAAAACACATAACCATACTCCCAAATAAAGTCCCTGTGGATCAAAGGTTAAAAAGAAAAAGGCAAAACTATGACAATAGAAATGTGATTAGAAAGACATTTCTAATCATAAAAATGAAGGCAAAAATCATAAATAGAAATGATTCATAAATTTGAATTCTATAAAAACAAAACCTATGGCACACCAAAAATAGTACCAAAAGGCAAGCAGTGAACTGGCAAATAACTGCAACCAATATGATTAAAAAATGGTTATTCTCGGGCGCCTGGGTGGCTCAGTCGGTTAAGCATTAGCCTTTGGCCCAGGTCATGATCCCAGGGTCCTGGGGATCAAGCCCCGAGATGGGGTCCTCGCTCAACATGAAGTCTGCTTAAGACTCTCTCTCGGGGCGCCTGGGTGGCTCAGCTGGTTAAGCGACTGCCTTCGGCTCAGGTCATGATCCTGGAGTCCC